CTTGTCAGAAGCTGCAATGACGCTAGCATGGAAACAAGGACGGCCCAGTCATGGTGCGTAGCGAAACGATCGATAACGTGAGATTCGCTGAAGATATTGATGTTTGTAGCTGAGGCAACAGAGGACCTGCAGAGACTAACTGATAAAGAAGCTCAGAGAAAGTAATAGATTTGGATTGTGCATCAACAATGGAAAGACAAAAGTCACGGCGATTGGAAGACAAGAGGCCCAATAAAAAATAAAGGTGGAAGAAAACAAGTTGGAACAAGTGGACAAATACGTGTGCCTCGGAGGCTCAGTGACACCAAACGGAAGCTGTGCAGAAGACATCAAGAGGAGGATTGCATTAGTTGCGACATCCTTTTGAAAGCTCGGCAAAATACGATCACTTTGAGATGTTATTTACACACGAGGAAAAGCCAAGGCGTGTGAAACTACAGTCGTTGCTTCAATACAGACGTATGGCTCTGAATGCTGGAGAATGGGAAACTCCCAAATACCAAAATCAACAACTGCAGAAATGCGCTGGGCAGAGAAGAACAGCGAGGAGTGTCTCGGCTAGAGACACAAAGACGTGAAGCCATGAGAGAACGGCTGGGACAGGATCTGGCACTGGTCAAGAAGATCCAAGAGAGGCGACTCTGGTGGTTTTGGACACGTGGTCGAGAATGGATCCACAAAGAATACCAATCGTGGAATTACACACAAAGACAAAGATCCCCCGCATAGCCTGAGCAGACTAGTGGAGCAAGTGCTGTTGGCGAGCAGCACCTATGAAGGCCGGGACGGAATACGAGGGGGTGAGTGGCCAGCACCACGCTTGGCCGCCTTTGTCTCCCCTGCGGAGATGTTTACACACTGTACTAGGTACTCGTTTGAGGCTGAGTCGACCTAGGGGAGGTCCAGGACCGGTTCAGATAATCGTCACTGATGTTGGCTTTGAGCGGGAATCGAACTCGTGTCGCACACAGGCACACGCAACAGGGAATACAGGAACAGCACAGTTCCACTGACTAGTCTGACACAGTGAAACTTTATCCCGAAATTAAAAAAAAAGGCGGCAGTTAAAGTAAGCCGTGAGGCTCCCGCGACACAGGAACAAGGTGGAAAGTTGTCAATCGGCCCCATCGTCTCGGCAAGAAGACAGAAGGGAACTGAAGAGAAAAGAGAGTTTGGTACAAATTGGCATCACATTTTATGAGGCACATATGTTTTGGTGAAAATATTTTTTTTTGGTCTTCTAATATAGTGATTGCCAGTTTCACATTAATAAGGACACGCAAGAGCAAAATTCGAAATCAAATGGACAATGTCAGATTCTGCCGTGGATTTTTGGCAAAATTTCAGCACTGAAACATCACCATGAGGATAAATTAGTGGTTATTTTCTCATATAAATTATATTTATATCCACATAAAAGTATGAGCAACCATTTCTTTGCACAAAATGTATACTTAAGAGTCTGGAACTGAGGCCTGCATATAATTGAGCAGCAATAAACTGACTGTCATCACAAAAAGCGCAGGATTTCAAAATTGCCATTATATTGCACCAAAATAATGTAACAAAAACAAAAAAAAACAAAAAAAAGTTTGTCCCTGGGAAGTAAGTGTTATTTTCTAATTGCTTATGCCTCAAAAGTACAGAAAATTGCTATTATTCCCCATAAATTTTGCTTTCGTGACCAGGACACAAAAGCAAAGTTAATAATCCACATCATTAATAACAGTGTAACAAATGTATTTATTTTGTGTTCCTGGGTAGTGTTATTTCCTAATTGCTTACGCCTCAAAAGTACAAAAAGTGGCTATTATTCCCCACAAACTTTGCTTTTGTGACCAGGACAGTGATATTTTGAAATGTACCTATTTTCAATGAGAAAACGTGGTGCGCATTTGTGTCGTTCCTTCACATAGAGTCCTGGTCACAAAAGCAAAGTTTGTGGGGAATAATATAAATTTTCTGTACTTTTGAGGCGTAAGCAATTAGAAAATAACACTTACTACCCAGGAACAAAAATCGTGTTACATAATTCAGCTATACCAATTATTGCAGTCATTGCGTTCCCATTGAATTCACAAGGAGACGTTTTTGCACACATTTTTTTCTTGTAACTGTTTACCACCGACCAAATATATCCTGCCTATTGAAATAAATGTACAATTTTAATCAAATATTATTGACATATCAAAAAAGGGATATCAAATGACAAACGGGCCTTGTGGATGTTTGCTGATGCAGAATTGACCAGTTGTCTATGAATATTGGCTCCTGGACTTTGCAGTGTCTGTCACGAGGTGGTAAGAGCTTTTGTGTTTAGGCTAATATGTAATATTTCGTTGCAAATACTAACTCTCGGACAGACATTTCCGTAAGTACACGCCGTCGTGAATGCCGGCAAGACAACGCTTTCGCACACTGCAACCTGTGCATATGATCTACTATTGGTATCTGATTAAGTGACAGTTAAGTGGAAACATGTGTGAGGCTCATTATTTTAAGGATAGCAAATCAGATCTTATTAGGCTCACTTTGAGCCCAATGAGGTATCACAATAATTGCTTCGTAAATTATAATACTTTGGCAGAGAACAATACAGCAGACATCTCTCTGTCATGCCGAGTAAATATCCTAGGACGAGACGATTATTAACTCGTTTTCTCCATGCATGATGCAATGTAATGGTACAACTTGAAGCAATGTGTCTCACCAGGAGCCTGCACCCGAACCAATGAATGGCTTCAATTCCTGATGGCTCAGACTGGCCCTGACCAGCAATATCTCCCAACGCCGTGCAGAAAAAAACATATTGATTTCTGTGGCATTGCATAGACTATTTTTAATTTAATATCTACCGCCACTCGAGCAAAATGAATTGTTTGCAGGATAAGAAAACTTAAATTATATGTCTGCCCAGGGAAGGGGAGGAATAATGTGTGTGTGTGTGCATCAGTCTCAGTGGAATTTAATTAGTTTAATGACAGTGGCAATAACACTGGGTTTTAATGTATTCATAGCAAATGCCAAAAAAATCTATTTATCACTAAACACACTCAGAAAAGTGGATCGGCCACTACACGTATGATAATTTTATTTGTGATTGCTTTATTTAAAGGTCTGACAAGGCGATTTTCAATGAAACGTGTCCTGACAAAAGAATAAATGTTCCTCTTTTAATAAAGACGACTTAAATTTGCGAAACCGTCATTTGTACGAACGTGTCATTGTTATAATTAATTGGCGATGCCACACTACCAATAACGTGTAAATATACAACACCTCAAACCACATACACTAATTGCCGCCTAAGATGTTGAAGCACAAGTGTGTTTAATGTGGCTTGCGGTTGAGAAATGTTCAACGGAGATTAGTAGTTCGTGTTGTCCAATTTTGGCCGTGTAAATATCGCTCGAGACGGTTGACAGTAATTCAATCTGATGTCTAATACTCCTCGTGTCCATTACGCAGCAAGACCTCGCCATTTCACTATTTGGCAGTCACTGAATCTACACCGTATCTTTAAAATAAATGGAGTAGATGGTGTACATATTCCAAAGACAAAACAAATGCAATGTAATTCACGTTTAATTACACGGTTTTTTTTTGCAAGGAAATTGCCAAGAATTTATTAAACATGCACCAGACAATCTGTGTTTTGGATCTTCCACCATTAAACAATAATTACGGCAAATATTTGCAGAAATACAAAAGTGAGGTTTTCCTTTTTCACATTTGTTTTTTTTACAAGCGTGTGTTTTAATTAAAGCAGTCAAGAGCCAACAGTCACATTCATTATTCTGGAGACTACTTGTTAAGCTATTGCCAATCCCCTTAGAAGACATGGACTGCGATGACAATGAATACACAGGGATATCATGGCCATTAATTCGATTTTATTTGTACGCTTTTGCTGTGTCCATGGATCTCATCATTTCATAAAGGGCAAAAAACTGACTTTGCTCTTTTATAATTGACTTCCTTTTTTGGGAAATGCACTTGTTATGATATATGTAGCAATGAAACACAAATTAAAAGTATCATAAATGAGAGGCAAATGAATATTCACTAGACAGTTTATGTCAGGCCTGCGCATGAATTGCACACTTTGATAAATGCATTTATAGAACATTAACGGGTTGAGTTGTAATTTAAAACTCAACTTTCACCAGTCAGTAAAATATGACCAAATTATATATATATGTCACATCCATAAATGTCGGATGCTGCCACAGTGGTGTAATGGTCAGCAGACTGGAGCTGCAAACCAGAGGTCGCGAGTTTGATCTCCCAGCGGTGCAGTTTAACATACGTTCAGAGAAACATGTAATATTATTGTGTTATTTTATTTTATCAATTTATTATTTTATTCTCATTCTACGTGACTTTACCGAAAGAACCAAAGAAGATGTATTCCATTTCAATACTAAAACACGTTTCATTGAAACCAGCTTCATAAACCTCTTACGTTAATGTGTGTATGTATGCAAAGTGTTCTGTCGTCAAAGATAAAACTGCGTACGAGAAACATTCATTGGTGTACCACTATAAGTTATGAGAGATGTTCGATTTGACACTTTTTTAAAAGTCGCATTCCAATGTATAAATAGTGCATTTGATGCTCAAAAAGGTCAAACAGTGTCCCTACTTGAATGAGCTGTTATAGTTACAGGCATCTCCACTCTTTGGATAACTCTCAGCTATCAACAGAAGAAATTGCCCATCAGATTACCACAGCTGGCCTACCCACAAAGGGGTGCTTACTGCATCAACTTTTGAGAGATGATGTCTCTAAATTGATCCCTGGTCACGATTGTAATTTGGGATTAAGAGCCACGCGCGATAACCCTGGCACCTGGCACCACCGCCTGGGCCAGACAAGAAGACGCACGGCACTGACGTGGCCCTCTGAAGCTGGGACGTGACCGCTCGGCATCACACAACTCGCATCGCAGCACGGCGCGATGCGACGCAAGAGGTGCGCGTTCATGCAAAGCACTTACCAAAACGACCAGCCGTAATCCCAGTGGTGTGGCCTCCAGTCCTCGGGACCCAAACTGGCTGTCACCTGGAACACTGTGGTATACATCATGTGGGCCACCATCCCCAGCAGACCTGAGCAACAACAAAACATTTGTTTTTTTTTAAACGCACAAGCACACGCAACGCCCGCTTGGCAAGTTGCACTACGCCAAAATCCAACTCTGTAATGGAAGAGGTGTGTTTGAATCTTTACTTAAGTGTATTTGAATCTTGACATAAGTCTATTTGGTCAATGAATTACAGTAAATCAATGGGTGTTTTTTTTGTCATTGCATGAGTCAAAAATCTGCTGAATTTCCTCGGAGAGTGCTGCTGTTCGTGAAACCCCAATATGACACCAGGATTTACATGTTTGTTTTCATACATTTTGCAACAGCGCAACCGGACTCCGCGAGGTGAGGTCATTGTCTCAAGGGGACTTCCAAGGAGGGCGGAGCAGTGTCAACAGCTCGCGGCCCAGAGGATACACGCGTGATTCATGCCCTGGCGATAGTACAGTGGAAGCAGGCCAAAGGGTTTTCAACAAAGTAAAGGCAACAAAAAAAATTCACCCTACAATGTCTGCAACAATAAATTACTGTTACATGCATGTCATAAAACATTCTGTTAGTTCAGCAGCTGTGTACTTGTGAGTAGCGTATCGCTCTGCTGCACTGCCCTCGTCCTTAACACCTTCACCATCCTTCCCCTTCCTAACCTCGTCAGCCCTCCCTCTCCCTATCATCAACCCTTCCTCAACATCATCCGCCTTCCCCTTCCGAACGTCGCCCTCCCTCTCCCCACCATCACCCTTCCATGCCATCCCTTCCCAACACTCAAACCCCATCCATTTTTACCCATCCACCAATAACTAACGTACAATTTATCATTCTTGTTAAGCACTTTGACAAAAGCGCTCTATAAAACCCTAGATAAGATACGGATATAGATATTTATCATTTACATTCACACCGACACTATCACAAGCGTCTAGTTCCCAAGTATAGGTTTTCATCTACAGACATGCTTCCTGATTTGGCACTTCCTTGTTTAATGCCCAAGAGGCATTCCTTAAAGACTAATTAGAGATGATGCCCAACGCCTTGGCTACTTTACCGGCACGTGATGGCCAATGTTTGTGAACTCGTATGAAACAGAATACTCTTGTGCATGCACATGTACGGCCCTTGCGTCAACCCACTACTGGAGGAGAGCATCCCCATACCATGTGGTGGTGGTGGTGGGGGATATTTAATCAAACTTCACCACGCTGGTCATTGTGGGTAAGGCGAAGGTGGATAGCACAGATATAGTACAAAAGAAAGACGTGGTAAAAAAATGTCAAAATGTGTGGCCTGCCCTCTGCTGACAACATAGCCCCGCGGCAGCCCGTAGCACCTGTTATGCATGGTGGGCACCCATCCAGGTAAGGCCTACTAAGCTACGTAGCTCTTTTTCCGAAGCTACCTGGCTATCACACGATAGCTCAACGAAGTGGCTCATCACGTGCAAATTTATAGCAGCCAAATACCCTAAACGCGTGACGTTGATTCTAAATATGTAGGGAAAAACCCGAGGACCCCGAGAAAAATCCACGCGACCGCGGGGAGAACGTGCAACTCCAAATACGCAGGCGCCAGGGTCGGGATTGAACCCATGATGACCTCCTGTATACCAGGCGAGATAGTTAGCATCTATCCAACAGGCCCAGTCCCGATTCATGCTCGTGTAGCGAGGAACGCCTCGGTGAGTCTCACGACTCTTTGAGGAGGGTCCTGCTACGTTTTGTCATGTTTATTTTCGTAATTTCTGTTGAGTAATTTTCAGCTCTGGCCAATGTCAGGAATCAAACCCAGGCCCTTTTTTGCTGTGAGCCACAAGTGTATTATGTTACCACTATACCACCCTGCTTACAAAACAGGGTGATGTGCTCATAGGCTAGGATCAGTTTCCCCGTACAAATGATCAGACTGCTTGCTCGTTTGATATCATCACAACACATAACTAAGGTTAGATTGCAAGCAGTGCACCCTAAAGCCCGAGACAAGCATAGTAATGACGAGGTTACACACAGGGCTTCCATCTGGCAGGGTTGGTTTCGAAATCGCTGGGAATTGTCATCTGTGTGCGGGTGTCAGGAATTGATTTATACTAAAATATGGTACCAGCATCAGTGTTGGACTTCGTTACAGGATACTCCATAGTATGACTGATAAATAAATTCGGGTTTTGGCTTACAGTGGAAAAGGTGGCAACCTCCATTTACATAGCGCTCCATAATTAAATCATAACATTCAACAATTTTATTAATAATGTGAGTGCGGTGTATATCTTATACGAGAATTGCATATAATATACCAAGCGGAGTACTGACTTTTTAAATCGATGATTTTTTTTTATCTCTTCAACCAATTCAAAAAATAGATTGGATTCACCATGGCTCAAGTATAACGATGTTGATACCTTGTCTGCCGATGGCAACTGAACAAAGGCGCGATGCTGATATCATCTCAAAGGGCCTCCTCCTGCCTGAAGGAAGGCAGTAAAATGTGAGCAGGAGCGCTAATGAATTAATTGCGCCGGCTCACGGATCGTGTCCAGATGTGACCTTGCCTGGCCCGGGTTAGCAGCACGGAAAGAGAAATGTTGCTTGGGGTTGAAGAAAATCCAATAGGGCTTCGTCTTCAGAGGAGCGTGGAAACTATTGACTGTGTGTGGCGAGCCGCAGAACATTTTCCGGCTTCCTCTCCTTCCCGAAAGCTGTACAGAACATGACGTGTGCGGTGCAAGCTCTGTGCAGAGACTTTTCGACTCGAATTTTACAGTACAAATGACATTTCTGCACACGCCAATTCGTCACTAGTACAGCACACCGGTTGTGTTGGAGAGCCAAGCCACAACATTGTGGCTTGGCTCTGTTTACGTGACAACCCTTACTAGTTGGCTGTGTCGGGTGGTGGTGGGGTTTTAACGACACATTTATATATTTATGCGATCTGACTCAAATAACCTCGATTATGAATGATATTGGTCACGAAAGCTTACGTGTTAAACTATATATTGTACTCTAAACTGCTTTAGGTACCTGTGAAAAAAACAATCTTACCTCAATCAAGGAATAAGAAAAAACACACACGTAACAAACGCGTTTTAAAATGAAGAACATGATCATATTTAACAAGGTCACTAATTTCATTGTCGGCCCAATATAAGGAAATGAGCAATTTTCCTCCCTCCCCATTGCTGTTGGCAATTTATTTATTTTAATGTTTATACCTCTCAAAAGCACGCTTTGCGCAGGATAAGATGGCCCTGCACTGCGAGGAGGAGGAGGAGCCAGTTGATTATTTCTCAAGAATTAAAATCGTCTTTTGGACCCTGGAATAAGAGGAAAGTCCCTCCACCCATTCCCAGCACCCCCCCGCGGACATCCATCACTGTCACAGGCATGCAGAGTCAATACTCGTATTTGCTATGGTTCACTGTGATGAATGGGCCTCCGAGACCTTGGTGGAGACATTCCACTCCTCACTCTGCTCCGTGCAACAGCTTCTATTTGAACTGAAAATTGCATGCCAACTGATTTGTGTTTTGTGACTAAGTGTTGTTCCCCCCCCCCTCCAAACTTTTGGTAGTAAGATTCAACCTACATTGTACAACTGGACAGCATTTGCCTGTTGATCAGTGTTAGTTAATGAACAAAAAAAGGATTTTTGGCACGGAAGGGGTATTTTTTTATCAGCTTCAGCATAATTTTGTTTGACCCTTTTGTGAAATTCGCATCTGCGAAGAATACTATGCCAAAACACAAACGTGTGCTGTGCCAAAAATGCGTTGTATTCGCAGTCTATTTGCATGCAACTATTTATTAAATTGATTAAATAAGCATTTTTAAGAAACAAATATTCATAAAATTAGCCAATCACATTTATAACCAACAAGCGTGGCACGCAATGATGTAGGGGATAGCTGTTGGCATGGTGATCAATGTGACGCTATTATAATGTTCACTCATTGCTGAATCTATTCCTTCTCAACCGCCATTTATATTCAAATGTTTCGTGTAATTTTAAGCATTCAGATGCACTTGAATGAGCTTGTTACTATAAGATTAAAGTTATTCGTAGGTCCATACATATACAATGAGTAGGTGAGTACCACAGAGCACAATATTGCGATCTATCACTATGAACTGGCAAACATTTTTTTAAATTACCGTAATAAGTTACACATTGCACATCTTTAATTTTAATTTAATGAAATGGTCAACACTGAAAGTATAATTTATACAAAAAATATACAAGTTTTTATTAAACGTCTGGATGTTACTCTCCAAGTGCAACATTTGACTTCACATACAATTGCCTACAAAATAGCGCTGTCACCGAATCTATATGAATTTAATGGCATGGTAAGAACCACATCTCGCAATAACGAGCAATATGTTAACTATACGTCGTGAGATAGAATCCAGACTTGGTATAGCTGTGTGCAAAAGCAGGCAGGAGTGCACACCACACATCCGTCTGTTCACAAGTTCAGTTTAATCGTGAGAATTGGTGACATTTGGTATTCGCACCATTCTTATAAAGTGCGAGGATATCATGACGGCACTGTGTTCACCGACAGCCTGCGGTAGTTTCACAGTAGGGGGCGATGCTGTCACGTGTAATCCACGATTGAGTAATTGTGGGTAAATGTTCAAATTTGGAAAATTAGCACCGTGACGCGGGGGAGTCTGTAACGTCCACCGTGAAGCTGACGGCGCGTGGTATTTTATGGTTATTGCACCCAGCAGTGATCTGCAACAAGCGGCGAGGGCGCCACCGCTGGGGCCGTCAATGCCCCAATTTTACTTCAGACATTAGTTACGCACTATCGCTACCAAGTTACTCTTGTGGTGCTTCTAAATCTGTGATGGGTGAAAGAAATGCTTTCGTGTACGATTGGCTGTCAAGAGGTCAGCTGGGTGAGGTCAGAGGTCGGGGCGCTAGGCCGACACTGTTGAGCTTCTGGGTTCAATCCCGGGTTACAGCCATCCATAATTCACTATGTAACACAATTTTTGTTCCTGGGTACTACGTGTCCTTTTT